ACTAATGTGTCTAGTAATTCAGTAAAGAACCTAGAAGGGGAAAAGAGGTAGCTCTATTCATTGGTGGTTTTAAAAAATAGCACTATATGAAGCAGATTAACAGGTGGCAAAAAAAATAAAAAATTAATAAAAAATAGCACTATAAGCATCAGTGATTTAAAAAAATAGAAGAGGCTTATAGCAACACATAAGCTCATTTGAACATTCTTACCTTCTTCAAGGCTGTCTTGATTTTGAGGTAGATTAGGACAAGAATAGGCAGAGAGAAAACAAAATTTACAAAAGGATGAAATTATAGAAATTCCTGTATTTGAAATCCTCTAAAGGAGACTTCAGATGATTAAATGCTATAATTATTGCTCCATCTATAAAGAAAAGTTTCAACTACAAAAACCTAAGAAGTCAATGATTCTGGATGCTCCTGCAAATTACAAAGACCAAGAAAGGAAAAAGTACCAATTTACAAACTCCCTTTGGAGGGAGAAACTCTCCCTCTCTTCATTATCACTTTGACCTATGGAAGAGAAAGTTTCCGACATCAATTCCACACTGAGGAAGAACTTCTGCCTCTTTCTCTACCCCCTCGCAGATGCCACCTCATAGTTGAAAATAGTGGCATTACCAGTAGATAACACTCAAAAGCAAGACAGGCATCTTGAATCTGCCTTCATCCATAAACAGAAGAAACCTATAGATTATTCATGTTTCTGCTCCAGCTTCTCAGACTATGACTAGATAGATATTAGTTGGCCCAAATCTGCTAGGAGAGTATTCTAGGGGAGATAAAGTAGAAAGTTCCACTTAGTATTCAGGTTGTAGCCATGTATTCCCATGTGGGTTTTTTCTCCCCATCTGGTTTTATCCTCAGTAAAATTGAAGTTTTCATTCTCCTCTGTTCTCCATATCTATTTTTCAACTGGTTGAAATAGAAGGAGGGATTAAGCTTGATTAAGCACTCCCATACTGCAACACCATGGAAAGAATTTGTTCATTGGCTTGTTTTAGATAAATGTAAGGCAGTCACATAAATCATTTCGCTGCCCCGCCCCCAAAATCCCCTTCAAATTTAAAAAGGTGAACAAAAATTAATCACAGCATCTTGGAGTTTAGTGGAACACTAGAGACCAATTCAACCTCCATATTACAGATGAGTAAACACATAGAAACAGAATAAAAGTACAATATTTATTATAATGAATATATTACTTTCATATAGTTCAATAGTAGACTGAGAAAACGAAGTACTTTTTTCAGCTTTTTATATAGTTTTTGGTACACTGAGTTCTTACAATGTTATTGTGTCTACCATATTATTTCAAGCCGATTTCTTTGAACATTATTTCAAGGAACTGTTTGTACAAGTTACAAATTTAGAGAAGTAGGTATCACTGAAGGTTGAAGAAGTCAACAAAGACTTGATAGAAAAGATAAAGCTTAATCCTTAATGGATTGGGTGGGTGACAAGTAGAAATAAGATAAAACTTTTCATGGCTGGGCGCGGTGGCTCACGCCTGTAATCCTAGCACTCTGGGAGGCTGAGGCGGGTGGATGGTTTGAGCTCAGGAGCTCGAAACCAGTCTGAGTAAGAGCGGGACCCCGCCTCTACCAAAAAATGGAAAGAAATTAATTGGACAGCTAAAAAATATATGTAGAAAAAATTAGCTGGGCATGGTGGCGTGTGCCTGTGGTCCCAGCTACTCGGGAGGCTGAGGCAGTAGGATCGCTTGAGACCCGGAGTTTGAGGTTGCTGTGAGCTAGGCTGACGCCACGGCACTCGCCCCAGGCAAGAGAGTGAGACTCTGTCTCAAAAAAAAAAAAAAAAATTTTTCAGATTAGGGGAATAATATGAGCAAAGACATAAAGGTAGAAACTAAAGAGACAGGTGTAATATGAGATAGAGTATGGTGAAAAAAAAAACATTTTTGTCCCAAACACTGTCAAGAACAGAACTTTTTGTGTGATATTTTCATAAACTCCTTCTGGGAAGAAATTAGCATTCCTGGTAAAAAGTGTAATCCATTTTGGATGAATTTTTAAAAGGCTTAAGAAAGTTCTTCTGGGAACTTAGTTATTTACCTACTCAGCTGACAGTCAAGAGTCTGAAGATTTTTAACAAGATATTCTTTTCTTGCTTATCTAACCACTCTTATTTTCCTATAAATGTCTCCAGGAAGAAACGTATCTTCAAATTGGCCTGGTTCATTTTTCTCCCTGGCAGCAAGTTTGAAATAAAACTGTGACATGTTCTCATAACTAAATTTCTGAAAAGCTTTTTCTGAAATCAATGAATATAAACATACTCATCAAATCCTAAA